CCCGTGCCGTCGAAACCGTCGTTTCCACGGCCGTGCTCGTGACTGCCACGTGTGGCAGCCGTACACATGTTGTTCTGTTGATCAGTGGCCCGCTTATTACAATTCGGATGCTGGTATGGATTCCAGAACAAGTTTTTCACAAATGCGAAGGTATTTATTAGCATAAATTGAGCAACTTTCTCCCCTAACTCGCAGCGGCAGAGTCAAAGAACCAGGAGTTTTTATTTGTCCTCACCCACTTTTGTCAATTGAACCAGCTGCGGTCCAACCGCCTCCGAGCCGTCTTCAGTATAGATTTGCTCTTGAACGAGTGAGCCAAAAAAGAATCACGTCTTACAGACATACCAGACACGATTGAAAGCGAAGCGAGGTGCATCGATCGCATCCCACCAATCATGATCGCTCCCAAAAGTCAGGGAGAAGAAGGTAGACGAGTGTGATGTAAGGAAAGATCTGCTGCAATTTCCTAAAATTAAGATTAAAACTGGTCCGCTTTTAGTACGCTTCACCAAAAAAAAAAAAAAAAAAAAGAACCACACTGTCCGTCCTCTCAAGGCTCGACCCCGAGTCGAACGGGTGTCCTACATTCATTTGCACCACAATATGCTGCTAAATTAAAGCAGATGCGGTCCCACCGCCATCGAGCCGATACTATTCTGAATGCGTCCTCGGGTAGGTAAGCTTGAAAGTAATTACATAGACAAACCCGCCTCAACCTGCAAGCCGGGAGTTTCAACTTGAGATTATCAATAATTTGGGAAGCCTGGGTTATGCAGAAGCGCCTTCCTGGAACGCATAAGATCTAAGATTCTTGTACGCCGGGGGAGAAAACAAGTTCAGTACACAGAAATAGCGAAGGGCTTGATCCCGAGTCGAACGGGTGTCCCCACATTATTTGCAGTTCATCAATTTTTTGTCAATTGAAGGCGGTGAGGACCCACCGCTATCGAGCCGTTCCTACATGAATTCTAATTCAGGATACATGCCGCAATCTGCCGCTCCGACAATCACTGCTTCCATCACTTTTCTTTTTTCAGATAGACTCACAATTCACATTGGATTCACCAGTAAGGAGTGTTTGGTAAAATGCCATTTGATGCGTAGCCAAAGAGGATCCCAGACCAACATGTTTAAAAAGTGACTACGAAGCGGGCCGTCAGCCACTTGTTTAGGATTAAAAATCTGTGAAGCCTGCGTAAAGAGAGACTGCGGAAGTACTTGTGAGAGCCTTCATCGAATGCATAAGAATTTAGTACGCCAAAAGAAAAAGAAAAAAACCTCAGAAACCGCTTATGACTCGATCCCGAGTCGAACGGGCGTCCCTGCATTATGTGCGGTGGGCGAGGTGGTCAAATTGAATGGTGGTGCGGTTCCACCGCTATCGAGCCGATACTACTCTGAATGCGTCCTCGGGTAGGTAAGCTTGAAAGTAATTAAGTTTCAACTTGGGATCGGACTCAGTAATAATAATTCGAAGCCTGGGTAATGAGGAAGCACTTGTGAGGGCCTCCCTGGAATCCATAAGATTATAGATTTTGTTAAGCTAAAGGAAAAAAAATCCAGTGGACTAGCCGACTACTGTATGGCTCAATCCCGAGTCGAACGGGTGTCCCTGCTTTACATAACATGGGAGTTTGGGAATTGAAGCGGGTGCGGACCAACCGCTATCAAGCCGTTCATACATTGGAAAATATGGACCTAAGCCATTGGGAAGCATAGCTCAAGCACTGGACCAAGTTCAACTTTGGCAATTTGGTGACCGATCAATGACCGTTGAATGACCTACGTAATCTTTTCTCATGGAAGCATCTAATCTCAAGCAAGAAGATTTAATTCCGGGACCTAGAGTCGCACGCGCTTGCAAGGAAACACGTATAAAATTTAGTCGCCGAGTCCTCCGATCAAAATGCGGTCCGAATCAGGCGCGTCACACCCCGTGCCCCGTCACATCACACCTCGCATCTTTCCGCTTACCACCACGTTCACCGGATGGCAGGCGCCTCGCGCACGGAACTGCTCCAATGGCTAAACGAGCTGCTCCAGCTCAACTACACCAAGGTCGAGCAATGCGGCGCCGGCGGGGCCTACATCAAGTGCTCGACAGCATCTACGGCGACATCCCCATGGCGCGCGTCAAGATGCAGGCGAAGCACGAGTATGAATATGTGGCGAACTACAAGATCATGCAGAATGTGTTCAAGGCGAAGAAGATCGATAAGCCGATTCCGGTAGAGAAGCTGGTAAAGTGTAAATGCAGTGCGTGTCTTTCTCTACTCCTTATTATTTCAAAAACTAATGGAATGAAAACAGAGACAACCTCGAATTCCTACAATGGCTCAAACGCTTCTGGGACGCCAACTTTGCTGGGGGCGAATACGACGCCGTGGGCCGGCGAAAAGGCGCCCCATCCGACCCACCCGCCACGCTAGCCCCCATCCACCCGTCATCTTCGCACGCGGCCTCCTCCGCCAGAGCAGGCGGCCGTACCCCCGTATCGGGGCACAGATCCACCACGCCGGGTGGCCGAAGGCTTGGAGGGCAAGAGCTGGACAGGAGGCACGAGCAGGAGGTGGCGGCGCTGACGGGGCAGGTGCGCGAGCTGACCGGGCAGTTGGAGGGGCTGGAGAAGGAGAGGGATTTTTATTTCGAGAAGGTGTGTGTCCCCACTCGTTGTCTTTCCTGATTCGACTCTGCCCCATCGTCCTCCGGATATTGATACGATATACTTACCGCATACCCAGCTCCGCGACATCGAGATCCTAGCCCAGCAAAAGACGGAGGCGCTCGAGGCGGCAGGCGCAGCCGAAGACGAGACGTTGAAGGAGATACAGAAGATACTGTATAGTACGGAGGTGCGTCCAGTCTGCCTTTTGCGTTCTTTACCCCCATCGCACATCCGCACGCCGATCCTCCATCCACCCTGTTTTTCTACTCCCTGCACGTCGTCCCGCGTCCCGCATGCCGATCCTGCGGATGAGGATGGATTCCCGCGTCCTGCGTCCCTCATGCGGGTCGCTTTGCCTGGGCCTCGTTCCATCGCCTTCGATGGCTTTCGATCGCGTTCTATCGCGTTCCATCGATGCATCTGGTCCCGACCATCGTGCCATCCATTCATGATCATCGTTCCAATCGCGCGACGCCAATATTGTCTGTCCGTGCGCGTGCATGGGCTTGGCTCCATCGCGCCCTCCTTGCCCTCGCATATTGCGCCTGCCTCCCTGCGCGGGTCGTGGATCGTACGATCGCCTGCATCGACTGCATCGCGCACAATCCTGCGCGTGCACCCGCTCAGCTTCATCGCGCCCCGATGTGCGGCGTGCCCATCCGTGGCCTTGGCCTCGGGCATTGCGTGGATCGCGGATCGGCTCTATCGCGCCCGATCGTACGATGCATCCTATCCTCGACATGCTCGACGCACTGTATGTTGCTGACGCGGGCCCGTGCTGTTCGCGACCTGGGCATACCGATCTCGGTGTCGATGGGCGGATGTCGGTGTCAATGGCGATGTCGATGTCTATGGCCTCAGATCGGGCATCGCGGCGGCGTGCGGATGTCCATGAGCGCTGATCGGGCGGCGCGGCGCGTTTGTCTTTTGTCTGTCCTGTCAGGTCTTATTGTGGGTCCGTGCAGGGACTGATCGGGCGTTGCGCGGACCCGAGTACCAGTCCCGGATCGCGCTCTGGTCCAAATCTTGACCTGGATCGACCCGGGCACGGGACATGGAGTCGGTCTTCCGTCTATTCATTCATTCGCGGTGCCAATCCCGTCGTGTTGCGTGCATATTGTGTCGGTTGGATATCGCGTCTCTGCCCGACATCGCGCGAGTGCTCTTTATTCCATCACATCTTTTCCCTACCCGATCCTCCGCCCAGATTCTAATTCTAATTTCTTTCTTTCCGATGTACAGGAAGGCTTCGAAGTCCCCGATGGCGAAGGAGGGGGCGTGCCGTTGGACCGTTGGACGAGGAGGAGACGTTTTAGGTTCGTTTTATTTTTTTCTTTTATGTCTTGGTTGCTTGCTCGACGCCGGCGTTCGTCTATACACCTGTCTATCTGCGTATCTGCATCTCCGTCGTGCTCTTGCTCACCAACTACTCTGCTTTACAGACTCGTTCTCGTTCTCCGATCAGCCGCACTGCGCCCTCCGGCCTGCTTTCCCTTCGCTCTCCTACTCTTCCCTATGACAACCCCGCATTCGTACATACACTCACCTACTTTCCCCACCTACTTACAAGCACTCCATACCTCGTACCCGCACTCTCCCTACGCACTCTCCCTACGACACATACACATTCCGATCGAATATCGAACATGTCTCTTTCCTTCCTTGCTTTCCGTTTTCTTTTCTGTTCCTTCGCTAGCTGCTATACACATACGTCCCTCTACCTCTAACTCCAACTAAGTACCACTAAAAGACCGTTTCTGTTTCTCGTGCTCTTGCTCTTTCTTGGCTGCGTGCGGAAGGGGAGTGGTTTGGTGTGATTGAATGGGTGTGTCAGATACACAGAACAGATACACAGAGAGCAGGAAGGCAGACTAGAAGATTTGAAGCGTCAGATGCAGTTGGATGCGTGATCGGCCCGGATAAGATACGGACGATAAGATAAGATACGACAAGCTCTCGAAGGAAAACGGTTAAAAAGCCTGTTAAAGTCGGGACTGCGAGTAGCACAGGAGTGGTACTGGTATCATACTAGTACTGGCTCGGTGGCGCATGGATGCGCGTCTGCTGTTCTTCCGAGAATGCTGAGAAAAATTGAGGCAGGAGCTCCCGTTCGATCCGGGGCCGAGCCACTGCCGTGGTCGCAATTAGTTTTTTCCCGTTCATACTGGTGGAACCGAAGGAAATTAAAACGGGGGGTCGTTTGCTTGAGCTTTACAGCAACGAATCATTTTTGGGCCTATCGCGAATTATGAAACTTTGAGCTCACCGTCGAATCTGAATGTCTAGCAAAGAGAAAGCTTTGAAGCTTGACTGAGTACGAATGTACGCTGATATCGGCTCGGTGGCGCATGGAACGCTTCTGCTGTCAATGTTGATGGCTTGCATAAATATTGAATGCAGAAAGACCCCGTTCAAATCGGGGCCGAGCCATTATTGCTTTGTCCGACTGTTTTTTTCTCGCTCTTTCGTGTAGGGTGCTGTACGGGGCAATCGCTCTACGGTGGCCGAGCAAGAGAGAGATAATATCTCTGAATGTCTCTAGATGCCGAGGTCAACAGCACGACGGTTGAAAGCTCGGGGAACTACCTGAAAAGGGGTGGTTTAATCAAGGACAAAGTAGGCTGATATCGGCTCGGTAGCGCATGGATGCGCTTCTGCTCGTGTTCCTCCAGAAGACGTTGAAAAATTGAGGCAGGAGCTCCCGTTCGTTCTGGGGCTGAACCATGGGTAGCGGATCTGTCCATTTTGTCCTCATAATTTTCTATGCACGTGAGTAATCCGGGAACGTTTCTCCCTTACTCTGGAGTGGCGCTCGTCGGCGTGACGATAAATGAGCAGGCACAGGGGAGAAATTATTTCTCTGCTGATGTTGGATAATCAACAGCACAATGGTGGGTTGAATTTGCAGCAAACCCCCTCTGAAACGCAGTGGTTTAGCCAAGAACAAAAGTAGGCTGATATCGGCTCGGTGGCGCATGGATGCGCATCTGCTTCTGTTGTCCAGAATAAATCTATGCGCCGAAGGTCCCCGTTCGATTCGGGGCCGAGCCATGCCAGAGAATTTGCAAGGTTTTTTTTTTTTTTTCCCCTTCTTTCTTTTTCTTGTTTCCGGGGAACCAAGGATCGCATGGGCTGTGGCGTTTGAGGGTCTTCTGATCATGAAATTGGGGGGGGTGACCCACAGGACGACTAATTCCAGGGCAACATTGATTGCGTGACTTTGAACTCGTGCACCATCCAACATGCATGCTGAATCTGAATGTATAGCAAAATATTTATTTCACCAGAGACTACACAGGGGTAGTATCGGCTCGGTGGCGCATGGATGCGCGTTTCCTGTCCCTGCGGGGACCACCAAGTGAAGTCTGGAGAAGGTCCCCGTTCGATTCGGGACCGAGCCAGTATAGAAATCGGTTCAATATTTTCTTTTTGTTATTCCTCATGAAAGGGTATAGGTACCGATGTGCCTTAAAATCGCTACCTACATTATGGAGCTCGGATGCTCGAGATACAGACCTGAAACAACGACGAGTCGTCTTTCTGAAGTCGGTCCAAGAATAATTGATGGAAATCCGCAACGCTTTTTGTTGGACCCTGACATGAAGAGGGTGAAGAATAAAGAGCAGGTTTAGCCAAAGTCGGACGGGAAGTCGAGCCAAAGCTGCTCCAACATGCTTAAACAATGTATCCAAGATGAGACGGTGTACATGTCCGATTCCTCACACCTTTTTGAAGCTCGCTAGGGCCGCACTCTTCTGTGATTCCCGCTGCCAGCCCAGTCAGAGATTCAACTCAACTACCAAAGCTCCAGTATGAACGGCGCTCACGATGAGCTTTATTATTGAACTCGGTCAAAAAAGTATTGATTGAAGTCCAACATGTTTTTTGTATCCTGAAGGCGGGGAAGAAAACAACGAAATTGGATGGGATCAAACACTCGGACACGGGGAAACCCCGAACTGCCTCCAACAATATTCTCTTCCGGCTGCTCGATGTGGGGAGGCCGTGTACCATACACCATGCCCGATTGCCTGTGTCTCTCTACAGACCTCACCAAGCTCCGCATTTCTGCAACATTCCAGACCAAAATATGCCCACAACGCAATTGGGAGATGCCCGCAGAGTCTGCGGCACGGATTCAACCCACTACTTGTATGCCGTTATTGAACCGCCTTCAAATTTTCGGCCCGTTCAAGAGGGAGGATAGCCCTGCGTGCGGCGCATCAACGAAATAAATAAAAAACCCCGCCGAGTGGAACAAATCATTCGGACACGGGGAGTCGAACCCCGCTTTGCCTCTAACATGCTTGGATAATGCGCAAGATGAAAGGTGGTGTACCATACACCATGTCCGATTGCTCAAACCTCTACAAAGTTCGATATGTCATCAGTTTCTTGCAACATCCCAGCCGGATGCATCAACGATTTCCATGTAAACGGCGTTGAATGTGAGAATTTCAACGCGATGCAGGCCAAAATTGAGAAAGAACTCTATCAGAAGTTCGGATACCCCACTCTGCCTCCAACATTCTTTTTCTGCCATTGCCTTGATATTGGGAGAACGTGAGCCACACACCATATCCGAGTACTACTTTATCTTACGCAATTCGTTGGATTACACAACCGGATTCAGCAATAGTGCATGTAGCGTAGGATGCCCGAGATGCCCGAAATAATCCAACATCAGCAGGTTGCTAGCCTCACGGTGAAGAACGACGACATTGAGCCGATGTCACTATTCCTAAAATTGAATCTTGCCGTGAAATTAAAAACCCTGTCAGAACTAAACCATTTAGATACGGGAGTCGAACCCCGGTCGCCTCCAAACTTACCAGAGGAAGTCGTAGAAATAGAGGCGATATGCCGTACGCCATATCTGATTTTCATTTGAAGCTCTAGAGCCCCCACTTTTCTGCAGCACCAGTCAGATTCTGAAAGAAAAAAAAATAGTCGCCCGAGATGCCCTAAGCGAGCCAACTCAACTCCCAAGCTCAAGTAGGTACGGTGCTCACGACGAGCCGGATTATTGAACTGTCAAAAAAAAAATGAATTGATATCTACAACGGGTTTTTGGACCTCTGACGTGAAGGTGGTGAACAAGAAAAAAAACTTCGCAACTACGACATTCGGTCACGGGGAGTCGAACCACGAGCTGCCTCCAACAATATTAAGGAACAGTCTGCCTCATGTGGGGAGGGCGTGTACCGTACACCATGTCCGATTCCTGTCACTCATTTGATGCTCGCTAGAGCCGCACTTTTATGCAACGTCCCACTGCCAGCCCAGTCACAGATTTAACTTAGTCTCTCTTGACAGACGCTCTAGTATCAGTACAATTACTCGTGCCTCGTAAGTCTGATGTAGAGTCTGTTGGTTACCGTGCTTGATACCCGGTAGCCTGCGTTATTATGTAATCAACCCAAATATGGATCTCACGTGAGCTGGCCCTGACGCGACTTGGACGCGTCGAGGCTCTGTGGGGAGCTGGGAAGAGATTTTAAAGCCTCAAATATTGAATGTACCTCTGAAGACAATTTTATGAGCTGTTATGAACTGCTGGAAGTGAAGAAGAGCTTCATAAGAATATATTCCTTTGATTTTTCATGTGGTTGTGTCGGAAACAAGTCGGAAACATCCATTTCACCTATGAACAAGCTCTCATGGTGCCCGGTGTCCCAAATGAGGATCTCACATGCTTTGGCAAGCGGTCTGAGAAGCAACTTCAGCGGGGAGGTCGAGAAACGCGTCGCGGCGCGTCTCGCTAATGCTTTGTTTGCGCATGCATCCATGATGGTTACATAATAACGCAGGCTACCGGGTAATCAGCGCGGTAACTAACAGACTAGATTTAACTAACGCTCCAGGATAAACGGCGCTCACGATGAGCCGTATTATTGAACTCGGTCCAAAAATAATGGATGGAAATCCACAACAGTTTTTCTTGTATCCTGACACGATAATTTGAGTTCAGCTTGACTTGCCTTCAGGTCAGTCTTCTGGCCATTTATCTTGGCCAGGAGCTCCGCTTTGCGTTCAGCCGCCTTGGCCGACTCCCGCTGGCTCTATCACATGTTTTTTCAGGTATGCATGTTGTCTCTCCCAAAATTTTAGGTAACTGGGACATGTTCTGGCCATGCTAGACGGTATTCAGTGCAAAAACAGCCCCAAAACAGAAGTTACCTAATACGTAATATTTTCGCAAGTTCCTCTCTATCACTAATTGTGCATGAATTAGCTGAGTAGATCTATTTAGTTTTTACGTGAATTGGTGAAGAACTGACAAAGATATAGGGAATTCTTTGGAAACATCCCAAAACAGAAAAATTTCGATCCGCGCCCTCGGTACTGACATCAGCTGTAAGATGTTCAAGCCAAAAAAGCCAATTAGTGGCCCATAGTCACGCTGGTTGAAAATGGGTGCAAGTTGTAGAGACATCGTACTCGCGAGAGCTGTAGGTGGATGCCAGGTCAACATTGACACCTGTGAATCGGGATTACACCGGGCTCATAGGGACTCACAAAAGGATGTGAATTATTCACTGAATTTGTGTGCTGAGGTCAGCTGAGGAGCAACTGCTGCAGTGTGCCAAAGGTCAGTGCCACTGGCAGAGAGGCAAGTGAGATGATAATCGGTGGCACCAACTTGAAGGACATGGTGGTTTTGGACAGACTCAAAGGCCGTGTTGCGTTGTATTTGGTTGGCTTCTTTGTTCAGTGGCTACGTTGTTCGTTATTGTTTCGATGCCACCGTGACATCGCGACTTCACATCTTTCCTTTCTCCCCCATCTTCCGCCCTCCACACTTAGTCTCTCGTAGACAGACGCTACAACAATTTCGGTGCTCGTGCCTCGCATGTTGTACTCCACACTCACATAATCATATCACTGCCGCTCTCTCGTTCTCGGGTCTCGCAGCATCCAGTACAGAGTGTAATCTCCCCACACTGCGGCGATCCGTTTGTCATACCAGGGGTAAAACGGCTTTGAAAAAGTTCGTGCGGTTCAGTGAGTTTTTGAAGTTATTTTATCGGGAAGTAAAAATAGAGTACAAAGAAAGTTTTTTCCTGAGCTTGCTCGTCCAGACAAAGGACTCTTTTTACCTGCAGTAAAAGGATGCCATTTTTCATGCCCTTTTTGCGCCTGCAACAACAATCATTTTTCCTCTTGTAAAATCTGGCCAGGTTTTTCCGGTGGTAATATCAAAGCTTTTTGTCCTGGTAAAACAGATGAAAAGCCTCTCATTTTCCCTCGCAAAATTCCCTGAGTAAAGTTCATTGTCTTTCATGGGAAAAAATCAAAGGGAAATCTATTCATTTTTCTTATGTTTTACCGTAGGAAAAATCGGCGCGCGCTGAGCGTCGCACTTGGGTGCGCGCTAGCGCCCACTCAGATTGCGCTGAGGGGACGCTCAGAGGGCACTCGGGGTATGCTCAGTTGGCGCTCGGGGCGCGCTCAGAGGGTGCACTTGACGCTCAGTGCACACTTCGGCTTTGAGTTCACAGTTCGGGCCATTCAGGCTGAGAGACCTTTGAAGGTCGAAGATTCTTCGAGCAAGATTTGGGTCGCAAAGAACCCCAAGCAGGTAAAACGAGAGGGTCCGAGAATAATAGACAGGTTGCGCAGGAGCCACGGAGCCACGGGGTGGCTCTCGGACCGTGCGCAAACCAGTGGCTCCACCGCCAAATTATGACGTTGATGACTCTTTGGTGGCTCTTTTGAGCCACTCGCCTGCTATTTTTGCGCACGGTCCAAGAGCCACGCCGTGGCTCCGTGGCTCCTGCGCAACCCGTCTAATGTTATATCACCAGCCGTCCCGAGGGTCGTATGCTCCTCAAACGAAGAACCAAAGGATTCGACTTCCGCTCGGAAAAAATTTATGATTTATCAAGCATAGTGTCACACAACAGGATATATTATAAGTATCAACAGAAACCTAGACAAAACGGAAAGACAACCGGAAACTAGGTGAATCTGGCATGATCCTGAATCGGGCCACCAACGAATATATTTATGCCCAGTGCCACGAGCTCCTTTTGCCGCGGACAGAATGC